ATACCTCATGATCTCACTCATTTGAAATCTAGGAGAGTTGATTTCATAGAATTACCTTATGAAAGTGGCTGGGAAAATGTTGGAATGAGGAATAAATAAAGAGATGTATTGTACAACATGGAGACTACAACTAATATACTGTATTCTTTAAAAATTCTAAGTAGATATAAAGTATTCTCACCACAAAAATGGTAGCTATGTGAGGTACTATATAAGTTAATTAACCAGATTTTGTCATTCCATAAAGTATGTATACTGCAAAACCTCATGTTGTACACATTAAACATATAAAATTTATCTGTCAATGTGAAAATTAAAATTAGTAAAGTTTTATTTCTCATCTATATGGTAGTCAGTATCCACCTGTGGCTATGAATAATTGAAGTATAGCTAATGTGAAAAGAAACTGAGTTTTTATTTTTAATTTTAACAAATTTGAATTTAAAAGTAAATAACAGTATACAACTAATGGTTACTCTAATGTACAGTGCAGTTGCAGACTATATTGTATTTGGGCACTCATTTTATTGAGTCATTTCTATTACATGATATAACTTTGTGAAAAAAAAATCTGTTAGAAATGAAATGCTAAGTTGATATTTTATTTTAATCCAAAATAGTGCCACGAAATAAAACACCAAGGACCCTCTAGTTTGTTGTAAGAAGCATTGTAATTAAAATTTCTTAGTACTATATTTTTCTCTATGGTTACTATTTTCACACTTTCTTAAATTAACAGTTTTTTTCATATATTTGTTAATATATGTTATATTTTTAATGAGAAATTCAGAGTAAATTTGCTTAAGATGTTAATTTTGTGTATCTATATTGCTTTTGATTATTTGGTTATGAATTTCCTGGGATCAAAGAACTCTAAGATTATTAGTGTTACCAAATGATTAGTAATTCTGAGATGATTAAACAATTGTTAATTCCTGAGATTTCTGATGTTTTTTTGCCATATCTAAAAGAAGGCATAAGATGAATTAGTGGTGACTATTCTAATATTCTAATTTTGAGATGCAACCTACTTCTTCATGTTTGAGCAGTGTACTTGAGTATGTATCTCATAAAGTTAAGATTCATGTCTGCATTTCTTTAAAAGTTCATCGATTCAACTAGCATAATCCTCAATGTTTAGTTAAGTATTCATGAAAAGGACTCGCAACTTTTCTCTTGTGCCTTACTACTTCATGTAAAGTTTTCCTATCATCTAAGTACTGAATTTGGTAGGATCACAGAAATGTCAGTTTGTCGATGAGTACATACATTTGTAAATGTGTACAACTCTTCTGTACCATTTCTGTAACTCATGGACTCTGGTGAACAGCACAGGCCTACTAATTTCCTTCCTAAGTGCCATTAATTTTGGTTGCCTAGCAAGCCACTAGGGTTTTACTGTATCTTATAGATCTATAGCTGGAGTAAAAAAATAAATTAAAAAAAAATCTTACTGTGTTTAGACATCTTGTGAGTTTGTGGGAACTCTAGAAATGATGTGTCCTTCAGTTCAACTTAGATGTTTTTGGTACAACATGTTTTTATAAGAAAAATTAGATTTTATGTGATTGGCAAATAAGGGACTTAGGTTCATATAATGTGTAAGGGGCATCAACTCATAGGCAACGTTTCCTAGGAAAGAGCTGTCAAGAAAATGGGGTTAGAAGGAAACGGAAAAAACTGTCAACTGGTTTGCTGCACTGAAAGCAGAAGCCTTTACAACTTTCTTTTAGGAAAATTAAAAGTAAGCATATGCTTCCAGCACTGAGAGGTGCCCCAGCTCCTGGCAGGTTATGCTTTCATCTGTACCAACCTTCATGACAACCTCATAGTGCAAAGCTTTATTCCTAGTTATATCTGATGCACCATTCCTTCTCCAATTAATGTTATCAGAGCTTCACTCTTTCATTTTTGTGCATTTCAAATACCCATCTAGATTACAATCTAGAGCAATCATGTAGATTCTGCCCCTTATACTATTTTTTCGAGAAACTTCCTCCTTTATTTCAGTATGAGATTTATCAGAACTCAGTAACTCTTAGGAAAACTTGAACAGGAAATATATGTCTGTCTATATATCTAAGTAAGCTGGCTAAGGTTGCCCAGATTGTGCATTGCAAAACTCTAAGCAGGAGTCTCCAAACTTTTTGGCACCTGGGGCCAATTTTGTGGAAGACAGTTTTACCATGGATTCAGGGGTGTGTGTGGGGGGGATCATCAGGCATTAGATTCTCATAAGGAGCACTAACCCAGATCCCTCACATATGCAGTTCACCGTAGAGTTCCTACACCTATGAGACTCTAATGCCGTGACTGATCTGACAGAACATGGAGCTCTACTTGCCCATGGCTCACCTCCTGCTGTGCAGCTGGGTTCCTAACAGGTCCTGGACCAACACTGATCCATGGTCTGGGGGTTGTGGACACTGCTCCAAAGCACTTCATTCACACAGCCTATGTTGGGCCTATTGACCACTGGAATTTCATGATATCTAAGTAATAAAAGGTAATCATGCATTTCAAAAAGCTAAATAGTTCTTCAAAGCTTTTAACTCCAAATGACAATGTTGTTTCATAGTCCAGCTGGTGTAGGGGCATGTGGTTACCTGGCAGCATAGACTCAGGAGAAAAAACACCCTCAACCAGTCCCCTGGTGTCAGGGTCCTACCAGGACTGTAGCTTCTGAAATTGTCTTGAGTCTGGGTATTAGCCTACTTCTTGCCAGCAAGACCACCAACAGTGATTTTAGGTTCAGCTAAATATTCCAAACTCATAAAATAGAAGACTGTGGCACTTGCCCAACTTTGCAAATGAATACAGGGTAGAAACAAAGGAGGAGGAACATGGGCGTGTCTCTTCAGCTCACCACCCCACTTCAGCATAGTGGCAGCTGCTTCCATCCCCAGCTCCTCCTTGTGGCTCAAGGGTGAGGAGAGGAGATCAAGGATGTGGTGTGTAAGCCATCTTTCTAAAAGGTGCAAGCTGCAAATAGGAGCCAAGCTTTCTGGCAACACCTGGTTGCAAGTTAAACTATACTGAAGGAAGGACTAGTATTATAGTTCATTCATAGTTCTTCCAGCTGAGTTGTGGTTTGCCAGACAGGGGTCATTTTTATAATAAGCCACATTGCCTGGTAAAACAGCTGATATTCCACCTTTATGCATTTCCAGAGAAACAGACCTAGGAGAAGGTGAACCCAAGGTCACAGGGTCATTTCACCACTTCTTTAGCTGTTTCGGAAATAGAGAAATCTGAAACTATCCCTTTTCTGCTTTCTTTGTCTTCTCTTTTGGTTCCCCTGTGAATTGAGTATTTTAAAGTCTTTATTGTCATCTTGTATTGTTGTCATCTGCTATATGCCCGTGTCTTAACTATGCTTGATGAAAAGTTTTAAGAAATAGTTATTAAATACATGCTAAATTAATGTTTTATATATCATCACATTACTTTCTTTAAAAATGGATGTTTCATAAATACCCTTCCCTAGAAAGGCAAAGGCAGTATGATGGAGGAAAAAAAATCTCATTCCCATTTGTATTGTGTTACAGAATGACCACAATAAGATGTTTTATTGTGTATTTTCTATGGAGTGTATTACAATATGGGTAAGCCAGGGGGAAAGGATTAGTATGAGTGTGAGTGTCTGGGGTACATGCTTTTAGTTAATAAATACATATTAGACAATTTGTAATTCTTGGGAGTTTTCCTTAATTTGCAAAAGAATACACATTTATGAGTGTGCCTTTACATTTTCAGTTGTTTCTTTCAAAGCTGTTGTTATGAGTTAGGTCTTTTATGTCCCATAAGAAACAAACAATATTGTAAAACCTCAATAGTTCAAAGAAACGAGGGAAGATCACTCTGAGAACTTTAAAATTTAAATAAAAAAAGATTTAAATAGCAAAAATATGGCATCAACCTAAGTGGCCATCAAAAAATGGATAGATAAAGGCCATGTGATATCTATACAGAGTGGAAAACTATTTAGCCACAAAAGAATGAAATCCTGCCATTTGTAGCAACATGGAAGAAAGTAGAGGTTAATATGTTATGTGAAATAAGCCAAGAACAGAAAGACAAATATGTGGGAGCCATAAAAGTTGATTTCATGGAGGTAGAGGCTGGGTGTGGGGTGGGGAGAGAAAGAGAGAGAGAGAGAATGTGTGTAGGGATGTAGAGCTTGGTTAATGGGTGCAAAAGAGTAAAGAGAAGCAATAAGTTCTAATGTCGGAGAGCAAAGTAGAGTGATTGTATATTTTAAAATAGCTAGAAGAGAGGGTCTGAAGTGTTCTCAACTCATAGAAATGACAAATGTTCATGGTGATGGATGTTCTAAATACCCTAACTTGATCATTACACATTCTATACATGTAACAAAGTATCACATGTACCTCATAGATACATACAAATATTGTGTATCAATAAAAAAAATTTTTAAATTTGTCACTTGAATATTTTCAAGAAAGACACTATTTAATCCTGCTTAAAAATATTCAATATAGGAGCCCTTTGGGTTTTCTTTAAGAAGCAGGTGATAATTTGTTAAAGATGACAATAATTACATTGAAAGATTATTTTTAAAAACTTAATTTATTTAATTGGATAATCACTCCCTTTGAATTTTATTTATACTAGTTTCTTAGCAAATATCTTGCTGTATATATTTTTATCTAGCTTAGTTACAAATTATGAAATAAGTTGAATTATTTGAAGAAAGTATATTCTTTATACATTTGACTCCAATATAAGTTAAAATAGAATATTAGCATTTTATATTTTTCAACATTGTGTTCTCAATGAGTTTTTACTGAATCGGTATTTTTAAAGGAGGATTCATTGATCTTATTAAATATTTATGGCCTGAAGAACAACTAGAAATTGACAGTTAATACAAATAGTTGCAATATTGCAACCATATGTGTTTTGGGCTTCTAATTTTTTTTTTTCAAGAGAAAGTTGAAGGGAATGATATTCTAACTATCACTTTTTATATTTTACAGGTGCATTTTTTTGATTTTAAACTAGTACCTCTTAGTCAGAAGATGGAAAACCTAATGTGGATTAGGGAATTTGCAAAGGAAGTGAAAAAAAGAAATATTTTGTTATATGGCCTCCTGATATGTTACTCACAGGTGGGTAAAATGTTGATATTATCTGAATATATGTTTCTTAAACTACAGTTTTACTAGTAAGGATTTGATTTGTTAAAAACAGAGGGATATTAATCATAATGGAAATACGACTGTAAAAGTACTCATTTCTGTGTGTGTACTGTAGTGGTAGACTCTCTTGACTCTAGGAGAAAACAATCAAAACAAGTGTATTGATTAGTGGCAAAAAGATACAAATTAGCAAGTATCTCATACTAAGTATCCCAAATAGGACTATCAGATTTAGCAAATAAAATCACAGAATGCCTAGTTAGAATATAATTTCAGGTAAACAATATTTTTTTTGTAAGAGTATTCTAAATTTGGAATCTGAAATTTATATTATATTTATATTTAACTGAATTATTGTACTTAGCAATCCCACAAGGCTACAACTCTTGGCGAGTGGTATACTTTGAAATTGCTTACTTTTATGTTATAGTAAAGATATAGGTAGTTAAGTGTTTCTCTTTCCTAACTTATTTAATCATTGGAAAGCAGTGCCTGGCATTCAGAGGGTCTGATACTTAACTAGAGAAATACACTTATTGTCATTTAATAGCAGCAAGTTAGTTACACTGAGGGTAAAATGAGACATCATTATAGACTCTGTGTGCTGAGAAATGCTATTTGAAACAAGTATTTGGAGAATCTGTTAGAGAAGATGTATGTACCCTTTGTACATAGCTTGCTTTTATTGAAATTTGCAGCTTCTTGGAGGTACTACACAGGCAGGAGTCTAGCAAGTTAAACAAGCAATTGCTTGGTTTTTTTTTTTAGGGATCTCAAATGGAAGTGATCTGGTATTGACTGTCCAGTAACAATAGGTTATATATGGGTGATACATAACAGCTATTGTTTTTGAAATTAAGGTGTATTTTTAGGCTGCAGATAACAGTTCTTTTGGAACAATGGATTTTAATTAAATCTCTAGGCCATCTTTTAGCCAGTCCCTTTGTTTTCATTAATCTAGAGTTGGTTGTTTTCTTGCTTCTGAAATATGCAAGCATGACTTCAGTTGAGTCATCAATAACAAGGCAAATTTTAGTTTAGTTAGAATCAGAGAATTATACAATGTTAGTGCTGTAGGGACTATTAAAGTCAGGACAACCAAGGCCCAAGGAGATATTTATACTTGCCCAAAGAGAGGTAACTGGCAGAGTTACAGAACTCAGGTCTGTATCTTCGGTTAGGAATATTTTCTCTTCAATAAATTATCTTTTGTGTTTGTACTCCATGTTATTACAGTGAGGAAAATAAATCTATTCTTTACTTTATATTCTGCAAAGGATTTAGGGACACACTACTAATGCTACCTTGTGCAGATATAAAATAGAGTTTATTGAGGCAAATCGCAAAGGAAAATATGAGATCATATACAATCCCTGGAACTATCTGTTTCCCACTACTTAGAACAGGGAAGAAGGGTCTGCGTCCATTCTAGTTGACTTTCCTGTAGAGAGTAGTGGTGCCAGATAAAATATAGGATGCCCCGTTACATTTGAATTTCAGATAATAAATAAATTTTAATATAAATATATCCCAAATATTATATGGAACACACATGCACTCAAAACTGTTTGATGTTTATCTGAAATTCAGATTCAACTGGGCATCACATGTTTTTATCTGCTAAATCTGGCAAGCTTAGCAGAGAGTGTTCCATACTTGGCAATCTCTCCATACTTAGAGGGTGGGGTACAATGCATATCAATGTGGCTCTGCAGCTGGGAAATCTCCCTGATTGCAAAAGTGGACCTGGTGGAAAGAAGAAACCTTTGGAGCCCTTTACTTTGATTCTGAGCCTTGTTATCTTAAGCTGAGGACCTGCTAAGATAGCTCTCTACTAAGCTGCCAAGGGTAGGGAGAGGACAACTCTGTAAGACCTTCAAGATAGCACTCTCAACGTTTTGGGAACAAAGATTGCTTACTTACTATGTATTGCTTATCTCTTCCTAAAAATACAATAGTGAAGATGTTTTGCTATGTGAGACTGTCTAGAATACTGAGCTTACTTTTCTCCTCTAAGACACAGGTGAGTTGACTCAATAACCTTACACACCGTCCAGTGCATATTGCCACCTAAACGAGCTTTTACCGAGGATCCTGGGATGTCCATCAGATATGCTGCTAAAAAGGGTTATGGTTTAAACTTTGGGAAACTCAATACATAGAGTTAAGCAGATTTCTTTAATGAGCATTTCACATCCACAAATTGGGGGAAAGGGATATGCCATTTTCGGTTTGCTCCTATAACCCTTTAACTATGGACAACTTCTGAGATTAATTTTGCCTAGAGGCAACTTTAGAAAACCCTCCTCACAATATATCCCAAGTTAAGAAACCTCTTCTTTCTAGACATAGTCTGTCTTCAGTACAACCTTTTTCAGTTGGTTAATTTAGCATCCAATATTGAGTGTCTTGTCAGATATTCTGCTAGTGCTAAGGATTTATAAGGATGTAAGTTGAAACTTCTATTCACTGTTTGCTGAAAAGACCTACAAGTGAAAAGGGTGTTGGTTTGTGCTTTCCAAGGTGCTGGGAGATGCAGCTTTCTGTAGTGTCTATATCAAATACATTAGTACAATTGTGTCATTACTTTACAGGTTTTAATTGAGAAAGGCGAAAAAATGTGGACAGGGTATTAAAGTGGGCATTCTCCACCATAACTTAAAGTTTTTGATCTTCAGGAACCTTGTGGCCATTCTCAAGTCGCTTGAATTCATGTCTTCTTCTATTTGATTATAAAATGGCTGTATCTTTGTAGATACCAAGCTTAAAATTTAAAAGTCAAATAAATATTGAAAACAGTTCAAGTTTAACTCATGTATTCTTATATACATTCTTAAAAAACATGTCTCATTCCACAATGTTTTAGTTTCATATGGTTCAACCTAAAATTCTGTGTTTTAAATTTGCTTTCAAATCTTTCCATTCACTCTAAGTCCTATCATCCAGTATACATTTTGAAACACAATTAAGAAGATTGACTGTTACACACTTACTCTCTACCTTGTTCTATAAAATTTAGGGCTTTGTTTCCTAAATCGAATTCTTCTCTGTGGTTGCTATTAGCCTATTTTCCTAGATAGTTTTTGTGTACCCCTGTAAGTCTCTGATTAGAGAAGGTTTTCTAGATTTTTCACTATTTTTCATAAGACATAGCATCAAATACTGCTTCTCAGAGTATGTTTTCAGCTTGTTAATAGCCCCTCTTTGGAAGAGAGCAGATATTGAATTTTCTTCAAAGTTCGTGCCATGTACATGGTCTGGCTAAAAGAAGACCTGCCTTGTTCTATATGTAATATTTCTGATAATGTTGATGGCTTTGATTTTTTTGGCTACATCCTCACAATGTTAACTTATATGGTGTTTATAGTAAACAGAATGACTTAAATTGTTTTTTTTTATTTAATATGCTGCAAATCTTAATCCCCATTTGTGTTTACACACATATGTAGGACTTTCTGTGTTTGGTGAATTTAAACTTATTAGTTTTAGTCTATCGTTTTAGCCTTTTGTTATCATTTTTTATTCAGAATATATATGCAACGCTTTAGCCATAATTTCATGCTTCATATAATTTATAAGTTATATGTATATATTTAGAAAAATATTGATTTGGAAAAGACTAAGGAGTGATCACGTATAAATGTTCTGCAATGTTGTCAGTGATCAGTTACTCATCCTTCTTTGGTAACTGAGTAACAGATGCATCTAACTATAATCTCTCAGTAGTTTCTGCATTTTTAAAGTGATATCATAAGAAACTCTGCCAAATTCTTTGCTGAACACCACATATGCCCCATATGTATATATTTTTTTCAGATTATAGAAAGATTATTTGCTAAATTATTGAATATTCTTGATTCCTTAGCTATGTCAATGCAAAGCACCAATTAGTTTTTTTCAGAATTGATTTTAAAATAGTCTTGCAACTTCAAAAATAAAAATGAATTTTAAAAAAGAATCTATTCATGGATAGCTTAGATTTAGACTTGGGTTATAGCCCTGAGTTTATCATCCAGTGCTCAGTTCCTCATGTGGTAAAAAGCATTTGGAAAGATTTAAAATTTATGTTCTAGATCAGAAGTACACCATAAAATTTGCCTTCCCAATTTGTTGAATGAATTTAATCCAGGCCCTATTTTTCTTTCTAAAATAGCCATAGAAACATACCTGTGGATAATTGAGATATGATTTTATAGTTTAACCCATATACAGGATTTTAGTCCCCTTTTAAATTTTATTTTATTTTAAATTTATGTATAAAATGTTATTTGTTTGTCATTGTTAATCTAACTTTGTTACAGTTATCATTGGAGATCAGGATATATAATTATACTTGGGGAATGTGTTCTAATTACCTACAAATCTGTACCTGATAATCTAGCAGTGAAATTATAGAGACATGATATTTCTGGAATGAGTGGTTCTAGCCAATAGATTTGAATGTGTGATTTTAATTTTGTTTTGCACATGAACTTCTGTGACAGTAAAAATTTTGAAGTCTACATAATTTCTAAGCTTCTATAGCAGTTTTCTGTGTAACCTGTGTGTTTTACATGCTTGGGGATTTAGAGATAGAAGTACACAAGTTTAGCCTGGGTGATATAGTGAGATCTTGTCTCTACCAAAGGAAAAAAAAATTGCCGGGCTTGGTGGTGTAAGCCGATAGTTCCAGATACTTGAGAGGCTAAGGTGGGAGGATCACTTCAGCTCAGGAACTTGAGACTGCAGTGAGCTATGATCGTGCCACTGCACTCCAGCCTGGGCAACAGAGTGAGGCTCCAAGTAAAACAAACAAACAAACAAACAAAAAACACACAAAGTCAAGTTTAAAAAGTTTTCTATCACTATTATACCTGATTATTCCACTGAATTACTGTCTATTGCTGCTCAAATTCTAAGACTAGCTCTATAACCTTGGACAAGTAATGTAAGTTTTCTAGACCCCAGACTCTCCATATGTAAAATGCAAA